CCAAGGCAGAACAGCAGGGTGCCTTAGAGCAGTGGCTTTGAAACTTCTGTTTTTCAGACTCTGTATCTCAAATTATAGTATTATTTACCCATATTTTAAACCAGCTTTAGAAACTTTTGTAATACATTTATTTAAAGGAAGCTCTATATTGCTATATCAAAATCACTTTAGATTATGGGTTTGATGGACTATTAAAATACATTAAAAGAGTCACAATAGGAAAATATTTGTACATCCAAAAAAATCGCCTTCCCAACCAATCTTTGGGACACCTGCTGTAGGGGAAACATCTCGCAACTGTGACCAGAGGCCAAAACACGCTAGCCAGCAACATTTGTCAGCCTTTGCTTAGTGGCACAGGCTGCAGTTGGTAGATGCTTGGTAGTGAATTTTATCTTCGTACTGTGTTTATATGAGGTGCGATTTTAAGAAAAGACCAGTTTCCAATCACATTTCCTCCCAGGGACACTTCATATCTCTTATTTTTCCTCATTCTGGGGTTTTGCGGTTAAGGAAGTAAACAAACAGTTTGACGAAATGTCAATCTCAGAATAAGTTACAAAACTTTAAGAATTCTTTAAGACTTAACTTCGTGGGGTGCTTGGGTGACTCAGTTGGTTAAGTGTCTGACTTGGGCACAGGTCATGATCTCAGGGTCCTGGGATTGAGCCCAGCGTCAGGCTCCTCATTCAGCAGAGATTCTGCTTGTCTCTCTCCCCCTGTCCCTCCTCCTGCTTGTTCTCGCTCTCTTTCTCAAATAAATAAATGAAATTTAAAAAAAAAAAAAAAAAAAGGAATCGACCTTGTGGCCAGTTGAGACTGTGGGTCAGTTATGGTCCTCTTTGGGTGCCTGAGTGGCTCAGTGGAGCATATGACTCTTGATGTAGGTGTTGTGAGTTCGAGCCCCATGTTGGGTGTAGAGATTACTTAAAAATAAGATCTTAAAAAAAATTGTGGTCCTCTAGACAGTTTGATATTCCTTGTGTTGCCTGTGGGAAAATCCCAACAGACCTCATTGCATCAGATCAACCCTTGAGACTTGTGAAGAAAAGGGGCTGCCTCAGCCTTAGCACTAGTGAGACATCATAGTTTCAAAAGAATAAATGTTGGTTTCAAGCTATTATATCTATTGGAAGGAAAACTCTTAGGGAAAAGGCACTTTCTCCAAACAGGTTGCTACCTAGGAACAAAGACAAAAATAGAAACCAAAGGGAAAAGAGCATGAAGAAAAAATTTTTATATGGTCAGTTTTGTTCCTAGAATCCCAAGCTTTCTGTATCTTGAGATATTTTCATTTATTCAGCAAACGTTTGTTGAATACCATTTACACACCTGGCTAGGTCCTGAGAATTGAGCAGTATATAGGATGGACATGGTTACTATCCCCATAAACATGAGGATCAACTGGGGCAAGACAGACACTAACAAACCATTATTTTTTTTATTAATTTTTTTATTGTTATGTTAACCACCATACATTACATCATTAGTTTTTGATGCAGTGTTCCATGATTCATTGTTTGTGCATAACACCCAGTGCTCCACACAGAATGTGCCCTCTTTAATACCCATCACCAGGCTAACCCATCCCCCCACCCCCTTTCCCTCTAGAACCCTCAGTTTGTTTCTCAGAGTCCATCTGTCTCTAATGGTTCGTCTCCCCCTCCGACTTACTCCCCTTCATTCTTCTGCTCCTGCTATCTTCTTCTTCTTCTTCTTTTTTTTCTTAACATATCTAACAAACCATTATTACTTGAGTAATTAGAGCTACAAAGAAGAAATTCAAGGATTCACAGGAAGTTTCAACAGAGACCTGATCCAATGCATGTGGTGAGGGGAAGGGGGAGGATTTTCTGAGATACCCATGTTTGGGGAACTGAAGGATGAGTAGGGGTTGGTCAGGTAAAAAGGGAGGTGGTCAGGAGAGAGTCTTCTAGAAAGGGAGAACAGCATGGGTATATACCTCTAAAGTAAGAAAAACATGATTCCCTCGAACTGAAAGAAATCCAATAAGAAAGCAAAAGAGGCATTTTTCTTTTCTCTGAAGACTTGGAAGGAAGTGTTATTAATCTAGACTTGCTAATAATACGCAATGGGGAATACAGCTTTAGACCCTTCTCTCTGGAAGTCTTTGGGACTTGGGTTTTTTGGGTTACCTGATGTTGGAGAGGGAGACTTCACTTATCTCCCTTTCAGGATTAGTTTTCAAAACACTTAAAACATTAATTAAAGTGTTTTGAAAATAGTCCTATTAAGTACCAATTGTTAGTACTACTCGTTACCTTGAGTACTCTAATTGCAGGGCTTGGGTATCTGATTATGGTATATGATCAGTTACAGTTTGAAGCTGTGGCTTTTTCGAGTAGTAGAAGGAAACCAATGAAAGACTTTGGAGACGCTTGCTGCTGTTTTAATTTGCCAGACCTCCTTCACTTTCCTCAAGTGTCATGCAGTCAGGGAAGTTTCATCTGTTGATGACAGGGAAGTGAAGCAAACATTAATCGAAGTTACAGACTCCCTGCCCCTCACAGGAACTGACTCATGTATTTTCATCTGAAACCATGGAGTTTTAGGGAGAACTAGACACTCAGAAACCTGTTTCCTTACCAGGAAAAGTCATCGTCTCATGGGTTTTTATTACAATTAGCCACAAAGCATGATGTTTCCTCTCGGTTTTTACACATTTCTTCTAAACATTTTTTTCTTTGTGAGGCATCATGGACGTCAGAATTGGTGTTGATTATAATTTTCGTTTTTAACTTTTGAATTGGGTGAAGTAGTGCTTTCAGGCTTTTCAGCAAATGGTTAAGCCTTGGTTCATTCTAATTGCAAGTAAGGTCACCAGGGTTAGGAAGGGCGATCATTAAAAAGAACATCTCTGTAAGGTAAATTCCTTGTAGGTACTTAGAATGTCTAGATAAATATACCTCTTTCCAGCTCCCATTTGCATTATTTAGCTGCCCAAGTTCTCATAAGCTCAGGACCATCCTAAAGTATACAGTCTCCACATGGTATCCTCTCCCCCTTGGGTTGGTAATGGATCCTGTCCTAAAGGGCAGTGAGCAGCCTACTTCCCATTCCTGATGAGCCTGTTTGAGGAAAGCCCAGTACTCATAGTGAGGTGTCCCAGTGCCTGACCCTGCTACTCAGTTACTAAATCTGTCCTTGTCTTCCCAGCCTACCCATTTGTTAAAGGCAGTACAGTATTCATTCTCTAAAATCTGACTTATCAGAATCTCCTAGTAGTGGGAATTTTTTTTTTCTGTCTTCTTTTAGATGTTGAAGTAAATAGTAAAGACACAGGCTGAAGTTTTTGCATAAGTTAAAAAAGGGGGGGAGAAAAAAAAATACCTAATGTCCAACATTAGGACATTAGCAGGAGAAGAGACAAGTATATTGGGATATCTTCATACAGTGGACTGAATTGCAGTATTGAGAACATATGAGCTAGAGCTATATGTAACAATGTAGATGAACATTGGCAAAAAAAACAAGTTGCAGAAGGACATAATAACTTTTATATAGAGAGTTGACTGTATAAGATTTGTAAACTTGCTAAGCAATACTATATAATGTTAAGTGTAAAGCTATATGTGAGAAGACAACAAATTCAGGATAGTGTTCATTCTAGGAGAGAGGAAGGGAAATTTGACTAGAAGGTATATACAAGTATGTATGTAATGTATTCCTTAAGATCCATTGTGAATATATGGCTGTTAATTATATTGTTCGCCATATCTTTTTTCATACCTGAAATATTTCATAATAAAAATCTGAAAAACAATTTTTTTTCATAAATTTAATCTTTAAAAACGCAGTTAGCTTTGGGGAATCTACTTAGGTCAGGACTCACTTAGCCAAGTTCTCTGAAATTAAAACTAATGTTTCAGAGTAAAAACCCAAAGAGGCTATAAGCTCTTCAGTCGTCAGAAAGATTTTCAGTTGTACTTACTGTATGGTTCTACGTGAACAAGGAAGCAGACCAACAATTTGAGAGAGATTTTCAACAAGGTTATGATGAACTAAAAGAGAGGTTAAAACCCGGCAGCCTCTGGGTAGAATCGAGGCTGCAGACCAATTTTGTTTGACCTTCATGGTACTCAGACTTCCAAAAAGAATGAATTAATGTTTTTTTTGAGATTTCACATTTTAAAAAATCTGGATTGCTACCTGTTGTTAAAGTATCAGGATATCTGGCATTCCTAGGCCCTCATTTCTTTTTTTTTTTAAGATTTTATTTATTATTTTAGAAAGAGAGAAAATGGGAGAGGGAGAGAGAAAATCCCACATGGACTCCGCACAAGCGCGGAGCCTGACACAGGGCTTGATCCCACGACCCTGAGATCGTGACCCAAGCCGGAATCAAGAGTCTGACGCCCAACTAACTGAGCCACCCAGGCACCGTGCTAGGCCCTCATTTCTACAAGGCAGCAACTGCCTGGAGCTGAGTAGCAACTGTTCCTTTTGGGGGGGCGGGGCGTGCAGTACATCCTCTCCATTTGGCCACTGTCCCCACCCAACCAGGTTCCCTCATTTTATCTGCCAGGCCCTAGAGGTGCTTTGAGTTTACAACCCCTGCATGAAACTCAAGTTACCTAACTAGAAAATTTATTCAAAATGTGCCTTTTCCAGGCACTCTGGTGAGGGCTGTAGTTTTACAAAAATACACACTAAAAGCATCATTCCTAAGATAGTCTGGTAAAGAATTTACTGCTTTAGAGTATAGCACATTTGAATTTTGGTTTACCAGGTTTGTAAAAATGGCCGTCATGGCAAACATTAACTCTCAACCATGGGATGATATACAAGGACAGCTGAGAGATCGCTGGTATTCCTAGAGCACCATTCTGGCAATGCTACCAAACAGATCTGTTGAGAAAGAGCAATTATTTCTAGACTAATTAAAGAGCTTGATTAAAAAAATGTACATCTGCCTAGCTGCCTACTGTCAAACTGAATTTTCATGCAAATTTTCCCTCTTCTATTTTGGTGGGTCTGAGGATGACAACAGCAACACGACAAGAAGTTCTTGGCCTCTACCGCAGAATTTTCAGGCTTGCGAGGAAATGGCAGGCGGCATCAGGGCAGATGGAAGACACCATTAAAGAAAAACAGTACATATTAAATGAAGCCAGAACACTGTTCCAGAAAAACAAAAATGTAAGTAGGCCCCAACTGGAGATTGTAAGGAGGAGGGCAGTTTCTTGTGATGTTTGTTCTTTTTCATCCGAAAATTGAGAGGACTGAGCATCACGGGTCACAGTGGCCAAGTGTGGGGCTGGAAGGGCCCAGAGGCATAGCTGAGCTCGCTTGCTTAACCACTGGGAAGCAGAGCCCAGCCTGGGTTTCTCTCTTCATTTGGTTCAGGTCTCAGTCCAACCCATAAGCGGCTCAGCATCCTCAGAAGACCCCATGAGCCAGGTGACACAAGTCAGGCCAGTGAGGGTTTTCAGGGGAGGAGCCGTTCCTCACACACTGGGCCTGTTACCAGTCCCTCCCACAGGAGGTGTGCAGTTAAACTTTTGTTTTCAATTCATAACCTATTCAAGACCTCCAAGTATAAACCCATTCAGAGGGAGGAGAATAGGATTAAGACACAGGGTTCCCTTCATAACTTCACTTTGAACTCGAGCCTCTTTGGCTAGCAGAGTGAGTTTGCCCTTTGGGACCACAGAATTGGGTAAGATAGTGCCTCCATTAGCTAGTTTAATGGACTGCCCACCCAGACACCAGGGAGCCAAAGACCATCTGTAAGAGGCTTGATTTGACCCATCCCAACAAACTATAAAGCATTAGCTGTTAGCTCCTTACGAAGACTGCCTGGCACTAACCATGGAAAGAGACTTTCAGCTTCTGACTTTTCTTGCCTCCTCCTCATTGATCTCACAGAGTCAATGCTGTCACTGTTCCCTCATGAAACCTTCTGACAGTCTACTCTCTTTTCCCGCTCTGACCCCTGTTTCTGTGTCCTTTTTGGCCCTGTCTTCTCCACACACCCTCCGGCCAACTGTAAGGATCCTCTGCAGGTCAGGCCTCTGTGCTGAGGCCCAGGGACCATGCAGTCACTTTCTGGTTCCAGCTCCTATATCTGAATACCCAGCCTCAGCCTCTCACCAGCCACCTGAAGGAGCTCATGACAGGCATGATGATCCAAAGCAGAACACCTCCTTCCACAAGGACACCTCCCCTTTCCAGTTTGCCTGTTTCTGCTCTAGCTCCTGTTACCACTCTGCAAGCTGTTTGCTCTCATTCTTTCGGTAAGCAAGTATTTGAGTGCCCATGATGTGCCAAACACTGGACTAACACAGAGGATATAAATGAGCAAAACCAAGACAGGATTCCTCACAGATGTTTCAGAGTTAGATGGCAAGAAGTGTAAAATGGCAATTAGGGTAACCGGTACAAAAGAAACCCTCCCAACCTACGTTCCCCTTCTCAGAAGCCCTGAGGTCTCCCCGCTTCATAAAACCAACCTGCTTATGAAGCTTATCTCTGCCTTTCTGACCCTCCACCAGCTTCTCCAAACTTTTTGTGCCACACACCAGAGTGAATTAAAAATGTCTATTTTGAGGTGCCTGGGTGGCTCAGTCGGTTAAGGGGCTGCCTTCAGCTCGGGTCATGATCCCGGGGTCCGGGATCGAGCCCCACATCGGGCTTCCTGCTTGGCCGGAAGCCTGCTTCTCCCTCTCCCACTCCCCCTGCTTGTGTTCCCTCTCTCGCTCTCTCTCAAATAAATAAATAAATAAAATCTTTAAAAAAAAAAGTCAACAGATTTGTTCCCATTAACCCCTTCTTTCATTTAAAAAAAATGTCTATTTTGTGTATTTTTATTAGCTTATTGGTACATTTAATGAATTTATTAATTTATAAATCAATATGATTACATAAATGGAGCTGTGGGCTCAGAAACTTTTTATTGAAAGTAGTAATCAAAACGTTGGAAGACCACTAGCCTATGCCTACCCCTGAGTAGTTGGTCATACTCTTTCTTGTTTGTTTCATTTGTTGGTGTGGTCTCCGCAACCAGGTTGTCAGTTCCTTGAGCACACAATGTCTTATACTTTCTTGTATATCCCATGGGCCCTGCCTTGTGGTTGTCACTAAATTCATGAGCACTTACAAATACTTTGGCTTGACTTACCTTCTCCAGGAAGTCTTCCTCAACTTCTTTGCCTTCATTCAATCCCACGGCAGAAACCTATTCTGAATTCCTGTGTAGCCATCTGCAGCAGTCATTGCCCTGTTGGTTATATGCCTCCATGCCTTTGCTGGAACTTTATGCATCATAGTTGTTCTGCCCAGGTAATAAACTTGATAGTTGAAGGCGGGGACCATGGCCTCACAGTGTCTAGCCAGGTGCTGGAGATACCATAGTAGGATGTGCCCAGTAATCCTTTTTAAGCTCACTAATGTGAGGACTACTCAAGACCCTTTGAGTTTTCAGTTATGGCAGTAACCAATCCTTCCTTTGCCTCTGCTTGAACCAGCCCAGTATGGTGTGAGCCAGAGGGAAGTGTATGTGCCAGGATGCTACGTGAGTGAGATGATTTTGTTGTGCCTGGGGAGGAGATACATGTTTTTTTAATTTTAAGATATGTACTTGTTTTGCCATGTATTAGAAAGAAAATATAATATCAGATAATTTTACAAATACTATGCTTAGGAGACAGTACATTTAAAGAAAAAGTTTAATATTAGTATAAATGGTGTGTGGATATAGCAGAATCATGAAGGCAGCCTCTGAACGACTGAATTTGGAGAACTCTAACCCAGACTTGTTCAGAAGGACAGCTGGAGTCCAAGGAGCCCTCAGCCCCCTTAACCATACATACTTTATCAGGGGCTTCTTTCTCCCCAGTCCCTTATGCAGATATAAGTAGTTTCTTGGAACTTCACTTGCTCTAAGAGTTTAATAATAATCCAGAGGTATCTCCTGAATTGCTCTGAATTCTAATGGGCAAATGGGAACATGGAAATCTGTTCCCAATGTGGACATCAGAGCAGCAGATTCTGAGAAGCACAGAGGTCAGAAAGCTGAGCCTCTGCCCCAAGGGACGCAGTTGTAGTTCTGTGCATTGCAGTTCCTAGAACTCTTCTCTGCTGTAAAAGGTACCATAGGATAGGCACGCCCTTGGAATTTCCAAGCCTCACTGGCCCAGATGTCACTGTGGGTGTCATTTGGGACTGTGCAGTCCCAGCTCTGCTTTGAGGCCTACTTGCAAACTCTTGGCAGAGCCACGTGTCAACTCCTTTTCCATCCTTGGAATGAAAGGGTTTCTGCCCTTCTACCTGGCATTCTGTTTTTCGGAATGAACTTGTGATTCCTTTACTTCAAACTGGACTACCACGATTTTACTATTTGGGAATTTAAAAAGCCATTTCTTCCCCTTACCAATGAGCAAGGCAGTTTACAGTTCAAAAGAAGAGGTGGATCATTCTCTGATATCTTACTTGGTGGGCGGGGGGGTTGGTTCTAGACAGCACTTGCTGCAATAATTGGGTTAAAGTTTGATCAACATGGGGAGGATGTGAAGAATCCTCGTTCAGTGTTGGTGGGAATATAAATTGGTATAACCTCTTAGAGGGTACTTTGACTCTAGAGGGAATATCTGTAAGAATTAAAAATGCGTGAACAAATACCCTTTGACCCAGCATTCTCTAGGAATTTATCTTTTAGATATATTTGCATGTAAGCCAAAAACAATTTTAGAGGGATCCATAACAGAATTGTTTATAATGGCAAAAGACTGGAAATAACCTAAATGTCCATCAGGAAAAAATTGATTAAATTATAACACAGCCTTATGTTGGAATTTTGTGCAGCTATTAAAAAGAATGGGCAGCTGTGTACATCTAGAAGGGCTTCAAGTTGTTATGGGAAAAGAAAGGTTCAAAACAGAGTGAGCTATCATTTGGGTAAGGAAGAAAGAACTAAATATATACAGGTATGCTTTTATCTGCATAGAATATCCCTGGAAGGACAAATAAAGAAACTGCCAATAAATGTTGCCGTTGAGAAGGGGAACTATGACAGGGGTAAAAGGGAGACTTTGTTTTTATATTATATCCTTTTGTATTATTTGAATAATGTTTTACTATGTGCTGGTATTACCTATTGCAATAACTTTTTAAATGTTTAATCCACAGTAATTATATATTGAATTGCTTTTGATTTTTCACATTCTCAACATTTCATTTACTGGCTGGTGAACTGAGAAAGTTGAAGATGTATACCCCTACATAAGGAGCATTAGAAAGATACTAAGAGCCTTACCCATTTTCCTCTTTTAATAGCTCACAGACGCAGACCTGATTAAACAGTGTATAGATGAATGCACAGCCAGGATTGAAATTGGACTGCATTACCAGATTCCTTATCCAAGGCCAGTAAGTGTGACTCCAGCTAACTTGTGGTGGGTACTTATCCTCATCAACCCAGTTATTTCCAAGAATGTGTATCAAGAGGGCTAGTGTTTGCCGAGAAGTCTAGAGCTTCTGTGGGAGGCATGTTGGAAGTAAGCTATCCTTGCATGCCGCCAACCCATCACAACAAACTAAAATGTCAGTAAATGCCTGATTTCTCCTACTCGTACAACTTTCCCACATACAGAAGGGAAAGCCAGCTTATATTTATATAGCTTTCTCTTTTGACTTTCATCTTTTTTTTTTAAAGATTTTATTTATTTATTTGAGAGAGAGAGAATGAGAGAGAGAGAAAGCACATGAGGGGGGGAGGGTCAGAGGGAGAAGCAGACTCCCTGCCGAGCAGGGAGCCCGATGCGGGACTCGATCCAGGGACTCCAGGATCATGACCTGAGCCGAAGGCAGCCGCTTAACCAACTGAGCCACCCAGGCGCCCTTGACTTTCATCTTTTTTATGGAAATATTTTTCTTTTCTTTTAATGAAAGACAGGTTTGTTGTTAATAGCATTAAAGGTGGGAAGTGAAAATGGTCCAAAATTCTCACCCTGTGGAAGTTACCACTGTAACTGTTAGGTTGGGCCATATGAAATTGCCAGTGTTCTACTCTTGACCTACAGAAACAATAATTTTATACTGTACTGGCTGAACCTAATAGTTGGGCAGTATATCCTTTGTCTTTTTTCTATATTCGTGTACATACATACATTTCTTTTTTTTTTTTTAATTTTATTTATTTGACAGAGAGAGACACAGCGAGAGAGGGAACACACGCAGGGGGAGTGGGAGAGGGAGAAGCAGGCTTCCCACAGAGCAGGGAGCCCGATGCGGGGCTCGATCCCAGGACCCTGGGACCATGACCTGAGCCGAAGGCAGATGCTTAATGACTGAGCCAACCAGGCGCCCCCATACATACATTTTCTTAATGTACATGGAATCCTGGGCATACTCTTTGCTCCTTGCTTGTTTTACTTCATCTGTTCTGGTAGTCTCTGCCTCCCATCTTTTTAAATGGTTGTCGCTGTATCCTCTTAACAAAAACGTGCCATAATTTACCCAGCAGCCATTTAGTAGGCATTTAGACTGGTCCCAGTTTCCCACTATGCACAGAGTAGCTTTGTATACACAAATTTTTTTTCTCGCCGCCTTTGGATTCTTATCTCACCATGTGATCTGTGGTCATTTTCCCCTCCATGCAGGCAATATGACAAAGAACACCAGCTCTGGAATCAGACCTGGGTTTAAATCCTGATTCTACCACTTAATGTATATATAAGCTTGAGCAAGTTTTTAACTTCTGAGCCTCCATTTTTCATCTATAGATATTATCTAATTCCTTATGAGATGATTGCAAGGATTAATGTATATAAGGATTTTAAGGATTAATGAGTCAGTGTAGATTTAGTGCTTAGCAGAGAGTACAGTACCTAGTAAATCTTCAATGGATATAAGCTGCTGTAATGATTATAATTCTTAATACTATCATTATTCTTATTCTCATTATTCAGATTCATCTGCCTCCAATGGGCCTTACCCCACTACAAGGCCGGGGACTTCGAAGCCAGGAAAAACTGAGGAAACTTTCCAAACCAGTATATCTCAAGTCTCATGATGAGATTTCTTAATCCAGAAGGAAATTTCTCAGAATGATGAGCCAACTAGGTCTTGAATGTAAACCAGATGACAAATCCCTTCTGTTTGATTAGGGGCAAAAATTAAAGTATCTTAAAAACCTCCAAAATATTGGTAATCATCCCATGATCTGTACTCACACATCCTTACAGTTCATCAGGGTCTTGTTGCCTACATGGATGACACTAACCCTAGAGGTTACACCCTCACTGAAGCATCATTTGGAAACAAGACTAAGGCCTGTAGAAGGAAGACAAGGTTGACAAAGCTTTTTCATGGAAATGCCATTTGCCAGACATGCCAGCTGATAGGAAGAAATTAGCCAATTGCTGGAAGTTCTCATAGCTGCTATAAAACTATACACCACCTTCAGAATATTTTTAGGCTTTTTCCCCCAAAGTTTTTGCTTAAAAAACAAAGTCTTGCTTGAAAGTGGTGTTTCTTTGTGCATGTTTTATCTTTTGATCTTCCCAATTTCCAGATACATTCCCCTTAAAAAGTGCATCATTGGGGGAGCCTGAGTGGCTCAGTCGGTTAAGCATCCGACTCTTGATTTCAGCTCAGGTCCTGATCCCGAATTCTTAGGATTGAGCCCTGCGTTGGGCTCCACACTCAGCAGGGAATCTGCTTGAGGATTCTCTCTCTCTCCCTCTCCCCCTCCCCCTGCTTGTGCTTTCTCTCTCTAAAATAAATCTTTTTAAAAAAAGGTGAATCATTGGATTGATTATGTTTTTTCATGGAAATTTTACATGAGACCCATTCCTGTCCCCAACATACACATACACAAAAGTATTTGTGTTAGATGGTTATATAGTTAGGCTATAGTTACCTTATAGCCTCTGATCACTTACGATGCACTTAGGATCTGAAAGGCTCACTTAAAACCATTCTGCATTCATTATAAGTATTTTATCATAACATAATTAGAAGGTACAAGGGCCAAGGTGGCTTTCAAATTATGTCTAAACAAATGGCACAAAGAGAAATCAAAATACAAAGGATTTATACCCCTGCATGTGTGGAGTCCCATGGTAAGTCACATGTGCCTTATATCATTCCTTCTGACCTCCAAAGAGGATGAGCATCACCAATAAAGACAAATCTGTATCAATTTTGGTCTTTCTCTATTCTTTTCCAAAATGGCTTTGTGACCCTCAGAAGCAGCAGATGGTAACTTCCTGCCCATACCTAGATTAGGATTCCCTTCTCACACCGATCGTCTCATTCAAAGTAAACGTATTTCAATCCCCAAACCTGTTCCTGTGAGCAGAAGCACACCCTCTCATGCTGAGATTAAGTACTGCAGAGCTTGGCAATGACCTGGAGAACAAATATATCACTGTAGCAATAACCTATGCATATTGAACACAACTGCAGCTACAGGCCTTTGGTGAAGAGAGACGAGAAATTTAAATGTGCTGGCAGATGTGTTGGCCATTGAGTGAGCACAAACCCTAGCCTCGCTTGAACTGGGAGACATGAATCTGCTATTCTATCAGTCACTGTCTTCTCTGATCTCACAGTAGAAGCATCTCCCTGCTCAGAGGTGGTTCTAGTGTTAAAGCATTTTCTCACGCAACATAGGACCTGTGAAACTTCATCTGACGGTCAACCATTGAAACAGTGATCTGTTCTTGCATTGGAGGAAAAACTGGTACTGCTGGACCAAGTGAGACATGGCTTGCCTGTCTCCTTCCTGGTCCCTTTCTAAGTAACTCAAGGTGATTTTGACTGCAACTTTCGTCTTTAACTCTGTTGAGTGGAGAAACCACCCTTCCCCCCCAAGCCTCTTCCAAAATGAAAGCCCATCTAATTGCTAGCTAGCCTCCTGAGTATCTTCTATGTGCCAGGAACCTTATCTAAATGTGCATTTTATATGCCTAACCTCCTTTGCAAAGATGTATATTCTAATACACATGAACATAATTGTCAACTTACTACCAAAACTTCCATATAAGTTATGTTTATTTTTTTAAAAAAATTTTATTTATTTATTTGAGAGAGAGAGAATGAGAGAGAGCACGAGAGGGAAGAGGGTCAGAGGGAGAAGCAGACTCCCTGCTGAGCAGGGAGCCCGATGCGGGACTCGATCCCAGGACTCCAGGATCATGACCTGAGCCGAAGGCAGCCGCTTAACCAACTGAGCCACCCAGGCGCCCTAAGTTATAATAGCTTTTTCCCCCCTCCCATTTTCTCTTGAAGACTATAAGATCTCCATCTTTGGTATTTTAAAGGCAGAACTTATCTTCCCTACGTCCCCTCTTCCAATGAAATTTTCTTCCAACACCAACAAGGACTGAAAACTATTTACCCAACAGCTAGATTTTTAAAGAGCAAGGACTAGCTTGGTGACAATGTTTGTCTGATGTTATCTGCTGAGCTATTTATAGGCAGGACCTGCAGCTTCTCACCAAGCTGATCTCTGGCCATCTCTGCCCCAGGACTCCAGCCTCTAACTCACCAGGATTTCTGAAGAACATACTGCTCTTTCCCAGGGGGAGACATTAATTACCATATTGGCCCCAGTAGACAATGACCTCAAATTTAGGGCACTCTTTCTTTTCAAAGTGGAGGAAATTTTTTAAATTACAAAAATTTAATCCATCGTACAGAAACATTCTGTCCCTTGACCCCTGAGGAATGAAACGGTCCGTCCTTGCTTCCCTCAGCTTTTTGTTGCTGAAACCGGGGGTTAGATAACTAAAATTCAATTGTTCTGTTAGCAACCCCCTCACTCTCTTCAAGCTTACAATATGACTTAACCAGTCCAAGATTCAGGCATTTGGGATCCTGACCATCTTTCCATCTCACATGACTAACAATCTTACTTGGAATGATAACAGCAGTTTCAGCTCTCTATTCATTCTGATTTTCTTTCCCCCATTGGGGTGTAAAAAAAAACCCCGTCTTTACCCCCCACCAAAAAACAAAAAACTATTAAATAACCTGCAATGAGCTGTAAGAGACTGCTCCTCTTCACTGTTTCTTTATTGCCTCCTGGCACGATTTGGAGAACTGCCCTTTTGTACTTAATCTCTAGGATCTCTCAGATGATTCGCTGATACCAGAATTCAGGGTTCTTAATTGGAATTTGATCAATTCCATGTTTCCATGAAAAGGTTTCTGGAATATGTTTGTTTGGTTCTCAGAAGCTTCCCACATTCAGGAACAATTAAAGACCTTGAGGACATTTCTTCTAGTGAAGAGGCAGAGAAACCAGCCTTATGTCCTTGCTCAACAATGAACTGACCAGTGGAATTCCCTGAAGGAAGTCACTTAGAGCCAAAGAGCTAAGTGAAGGAGTTAGCTGAGAAGTAAATATATCAAAAATGTGATTTTCATATCCCTCAGGATTCCCTTCTAGCTGGCCCTGGGGGAAAACAGTGATAAACTAGGAATTTTTTGGACATGGCTGTTGCAGCTACACATTTAAGATTCTACATCATAACACAGCCAAGTTGTTGGCAGGGAGGCAGCATGTGGCAGTGAAAAATGCATGGCTTCTAGAGCCAGACAGACCTTGCCTCAAAACCTGGCTCTGCAATGTGAAAGAGCTGGGTGACCTTAGGCAAGTTACATAATTTCCCTGAACCTCTAGAGGGAGAGACTGTCGTACGTACCACAGAGGAACAATCAAGACATCTAAAGGCCCAGGCACAACCCATGGCACGCAGTAGGCCTGCAACAAATACTGGTTCTCTCATGTCTCCTTTCTTCCTGAAATTTCTGTGCATCTGTTGCAGGCTAGTAGAGAAGTATTTGTGTCCCAGTTCTACCACTGATGAACTGTGGAAGCTTGGGCTAGTTATTTTTCTAAGCCTCCATTTCTGCATCTCTAAAATGGGCATAATAATACCCCACCACATGATTGTTGTGAGAAGTGATTTTCAAATATATCAAAACCTTAAAAAAATGAAAGCAGCTCAATCCTCTTTGAACCTGAGACTACACAGAGTAGGAAAGAAGCAATTAAAAGTTCAGTGGCAGTTATAGCAAAACCAACAAGAGAAAACCAAAAAGGGGCTTAGCCAAATGGCTAAAGGTCTAGGTTGAAGAAAGAGTCCCACTGTCGGTGTTCAAATCCAGGTTCCACTATTTTAGTAGCTATCTGATTTGGGAGATCTTACTTACCTTCTCTGTATCACGGTTTCTGCAGCCATCAAATGAAGATGATGATAATAACCTACTTTATAGGGCTGTTCTGAAATCCTGGCTCATAGCAAGTGCTCTACTTATATAACTGCTGCCATCCTCATCATACCAGGTGCCTCTTACAAAAGGAAAGCTAGGCTGTGGTCAAGAACGAAATGCCTTTTATTTTGTGCATTGAGACAGATGCCATTAATTATCCAGCTGGCACAGAGAGGCTACCCCTCGGTTTATCCAGTGCTTCTGGGGCCTGTCTGTTGGTAGTTCAATGGAGAGAACATAGTTGGTGGAGTGGCCTGTGGTAGAGAGGATGCCTCTTCGGGCACTCGTTTTGTAGACTGGACACGCATAAATGTTCTGATGCAGAAACATCGCACTTTCCCCAGGTTTCAGCCAAATAATGGGCAATGGGTCATAGAGAATTTTGGGGAAAGACTCCCCGATCTGCTTTGTTTTCCTGTCCCAGCGGGCACCTTCTAAGAAGAGGCCTTTTATGTAGGCCCCATCTTCTGGGCTACTCTCCATGACCGCTTCTTGTGGGGTTACCTGGAAGAGAGGAAGCTGTAAGTTCTATTACATGCCATTTCCCTAAATGGGGCAGCATGAAGAGATTAGAATATCTGCTGCAATGCCTGCCTTTCCCAAATGCATTTCCCAGGACACTGGGGCTTCTGTGATAATCCTCCCGCCCTCACACATGTACTGGGTCTGATTCCTAGTCAGCATGCTGCCCTTATGTATGGTGGGCATAGAGAATGCACTAAAGTAGGAGTCAGGAGGCCATGTTAACTATAGCTTAGCAACCTTGCACAGTCCCTTCCCTTTCTGGACCTGGATCTATAAAGTGAGGGGTTAGATTCAGACACATGCTGGTGAAGCAGTTCTCTGGTGGGGAGAAACAGAGCCTTGATTTGTAGTTTTTGTTGATGTCTATGGTGCATATGGTCAGTTTCAGGCTATCAGTTATGTAATAACCAGCCACAACTGGCTCTGGTGAGTTGGTGATATAAGCCAGCTCCAGCACACCACTGCTTAGGTTCAGAGGTGGCAAAGTCAAATTCCTTCAGGTGAGTGCAGAAAATGGTCCAAGTGTAGGAAAACAAGGAGTGGTAGGGATTATGGTGAACCAGAGATCACAAACTCCATTTAAAAATCATTCAAATTGTAATCTTTTTGTTATTGTGAATATTTTTCTCATTTTTACTTCTAAGTACTTATTGCTAGAATAGGAAAAGGCTATTGATTTTTGTATATTTAACCAGTATCCAGCCACCATATCAGTATTCTGATACCTATCAGTATTCTGATAGGTGTGCTTTTGGAGTCTTTAGGATTTCTAGGTATACAATCATTTCAACATCAAAAAAGATGGTTTTATCTTTTTTCTCCAATGTTTATCCAGTTATTTTGTTACTTTATTGCATTAATTTCAGCTTAACATTGT